CACTTGGCTGAAACCTGAATGACAAGAGGTAAGCAGTCATCAAGTGGAGAAAAGCCTTCTGGGAGGAGGGCACAGCGGAGGAGAGGCCGGAACAGGACCAGGCTCTGGCCCGCTGGGAGGATGGCGGGCACCCAGCGTGCTGGCACGCGCAGAACCAGCAGGAATGGAGAGGCCAGTGGTTGGGAGGTCGGGAGGGACCAGAGTGCATCAAGCCCCCAAGATGTTATTCCAGCTGCCATGGGAGCCACGGGAGGGCTTGGGCTGGGGGGAGCCAGCTGGCTGGGGGTGGGGAAAGGGGCTTTCTGTGGCCTTGGCCCAGGGTGGCAGCTGTGGATGGAGGTGTGGGCATATGCAGCTGATTTGGGAACCCCTGGGACTCAGCGGCGGGTAGATGTTAGGGTGACGGAAGAGGGGGTGCAGATGACCCTAGGCTTTGGCCCTGAGTACTTGGTTCCAGTCTCCATGGTGGGGAAGGCCGTGGGAACTGAGGAGGGAATCAAGTCTGGCAGGCCAGATGTGCAGCCACCGTGGAGAGCCTCACCTGGGTCCTTGGCCTCCTCCAGCAGGAACTTTTGGCTTCTCCCTGCACAGCTCCAGAGGCTCCAGATGGCCCAGAAATGATCCTCCTCTGGCTACTGCCCCCTGTACCCCCCAGCTCCGGCTGAGGGAGCCTTTTGCCCACCTGGACATCGGGACAGTTGGGAGGCCCACAGGCAGGAACTCTGCAGAGGTGAAGGGGTCAGTGTCCTGACAGCACTCATGGCAGCCTGGCTGCCTCCCCGAGGCTATTGTTACCTGGCGCTGGAAAGGCCACTGTGTGAGCCACACAGAGGCCTTGGTGGCCATGGAACCATCAGCCTGCTTGATGAGTCTATTTCCAAAGGCTGCTGGACTTCCGGCAAAAGCAAATCAACATCTCTTGACCTCTCTGAGGAACAGAGCTGAACTAGGAGCGCCACTTTACAGATGTGTAAACTGAGGTCCTGAAAGGTTAGGTGGCTTGCCTCGAGTCCCCAGAGACTAAAAGTCTGGGGCACCCCAACTCCAGGCCCTTGCCTGCTTGTCCTCGCAGCACATCTCATCTCCTGGGAGCCCTTCTGCCTTCAGCCTCCCTACTTCCCAGCCCCTGCCTGCCCTGCCTCTACCCCCTCCCAGCTCCCCTGCTAAGCCTTGTCTGGGAACAGGAAGGGGTAGTTCAAGACCTTCTCCATCTAACTCCTGCCCCAGATCTTTCTAGGCTTCTCAGGCTGGGAGCCCGGCATTCAAGCTGGGAGCCAGCCATGACTTTCCAGGGATCACGGTCCTGACTTGTTTGCTAGAATTCTGCCTTCCTTCACTCCCCTGTCCCAACACTATGCCAACAAGAGAGGTCCGCTCAGAACACCTAGAATCAGAGCTCATGGCTCCCTTTGCAGATCGCCAAGGCCACCATCACACCCCTGCTCCAATAGTAGCATCCTTACCAATCTCTCTAGTACTCCGTTCTACCACAGCCTCCCACCATACGGAGCCTCACGTGACATGGCACAGCCGCCTCTTCGACCTCAGTTCCCACACCTGCCGTCCCCTCCCAATACCACCTCGTCTTTTGGTTCATCTCATGACACTAGGCTCACTCCCACTCTGCGGCCCCAGGTGTTCCTTCTGGGGATCTGGTTCTCCCGCCTGCTCACCCAGCCGGCCCCAACCTCTTGCTGAGATCTCAACACCCCCACCTGTGACTATCCCATCACCGAAGTCATGCATTGCACTGAAACTTTCCTTCTTTCTCTGTCTACCTGGCATCACAGAATCATCAGTGCCAAGAATTGGTGGGTGTTCGATATTTGTTGACTGAACGAAGGAGTGAATGAATGACATCTGACACTGTGTGGACAGAACAGAAGGAGCCTGACCTCATGGAGTTCACAGGTTAGCTCGGTGTTTATCCAAGTTCATGCACATTGTCTCATTCTAGGGCGGCTCAGGAACCACAGACTACACACCAGCAGCCTATGGGGCAAACCTGACTTGCAATGGTATTTTCTTTGACGTTTTCCATGGGGTTTTTTTTAAGGTTTTTTTTTTTTTTTTTTTTTGAGGGGAGACTGGGTGGTTCGGTTATTAAGGGTCTGCCTTTGGCTTGAGTCGTGATCCCAGGACTCTAGAATCGAGCCCTGCATCGGGCTCCCTGCTCTGCCGGAGCTCTGCTTCTCCCTCTCCCACTCCACTCCCCCTGCTTGTCTCTTGCTGTCTCTCACTCTGTCAAATAAATAAATAAGATCTTAGAAACATTTTTTTGAGCCAACTCTTAAAAATTGGTTGATTTTACATACAAACCTGGATTTTTGGCTTCTTTTCGAAAATGGACGGATGTGGCCACACTGGGTTTCTTTGTTCAAATGACATGATTATTACTGCCCTATTAGACAGCCACATTCTGCACCGTCCCTACCGCTCTCTCCATCTCTCCCTCCCTGACAGCCTGCGTCAGTTGCCTTCAGTCACTGAGCCTGCCCTATTGCTTTCCTTCTAATAAATTTGCTTTGTATCCATTGCCTCTACCAAAAGTTGGAACGTGAAAAGCTGAATGGGTCACATGAGTCAAGAAAAAGAGATATTCTTTCATGCAACAAGTATTTATCAATAACCCACTCTGTGCCAGGTACAACGGTGGATACTGGATACCAGAGATATAGCAGCAGATAGCATGGGTGACTATCCCTCCTGACACTGTGTGACATTCTTTCCACAAGTGGAGACATTTGAGTTGTTCCTTACTAACCTCCTCCTCCCAACAAGAAAGACTGCGCTTCTTGTCCAAGGTCATCTGTGCAGACTTAGTTTCCACTAAGCACCTACTGTGTAACAAGCCCCGGACAGGGTCTGGCACAGCCGAAATGCTCAATAAATATTTGTTGACTTAATTAACTAAATCTACTTCCTAGACACACTGTGTTGGAAAATGTTTCTCCAGGATTTATTCAAAAGGTAAGGTGCTCACTTCACGCCAGTTGAACCAAAGGGTGCAGGTAAGAAGGGAGGGGTGACAAAGTATGTTTGGGGTGCGCGAAGGCAGAGCCCTGGGAGAGGAAGGGGCAAAGAGCAGCACCCGTTACCAGAGCCCACAGTGACCCCAGGAGGTAGGTGACAGGATTCCCAGGTGATAGACTAGAAAACAGGCTGGAAAGGAAAGGCCTTTGGCCAAAGTCACAAGCCCCAGGAGGGAGTGAAGGAGGAAGCCACCTGTTCCTGAAGTGCACACTCTCCCCGCCCACCTTCAGGGGGCTCCTGGACCACCTATTGGGGGGCGGGATGTAAAGGGTCTGCCCCAAAGTCGGTAGCCAGGCTTCTGCTCCCCTTTGACTCCTGACTTTTGGAATTGTGCGAATTCATTTATCAGACTCATTTCCTCTTAATCTGTTCCAGCAAATATTTAACACATGGAAAAGGTGTATGTGTGGTAGAGATCCTGAAATGTTTATTTTATATGGGGGTAGACGGAGAGCTAAAAAGAGGAAGAGGTCCCATTCCTGACCCCAGGAGGCCAGCCGGTTAGAGAAGCCCAAAGTGTCACAGTAACTTGGAAAGCAACAAGCACTCCGAGGGTGGGCCTCCCTCCAGCTAAACCTGGGGGCTGGACAGAGTTTGTTGAAACGGTTGGGGTTGGGGGGTGAAGGGGAGTGTGTGTGTTCCCAGGCTGACCCTCAGCCAAGGGTGGGCTGTTGCCAGAAGCGGACAAGAGCCCTCTGCCTTGCAGGGGCCGAAAACAGGCAAAGTAGGTTGGGCACCTGAAATCTGGCCCTTTGGGACCAGGATGAGGGTGTTTGCGGGAGTGTAAGCCCCAGTGAGGAAGGCGCTAGGGTCTTACGGATCTCAGTGGACTCGGAGAGGTTTAAACGCCCCTTCCTCCACGAAGCCCTCCTCCCTTCCCTGGCCAGAAAGCGGGCTGGGGCGGGGACCGGCGATCAGCTCTCCGCGGGCACTCTCCGCTGTACAGTGTGTACAGTTTGTACAGTGGCCGCGTCGTCCCCGCGGGCCCGCCCACCAGCCTACGCGCTCCTGGAGCCTCGCGTGTCTGCCCGCACGGAGCCGGAGCCCGGCAAATACCACTTGGCTGAACCACGAATTGCTCAGCCGGGCCTTCGGGATCGGGGCCGCCTGGGTCCAGGCCCGGTTCAACAAGTGTGGGCGGGACCGCCCGTTCCCGCCCGACGGCTTCGCGGCTCCCCCGGCGCCCCGGGCGCGCCGAGCCTGGCCGGGCCCCGTTGGGCGAGTTTCATTTCATCCCCCGCAGAGCGTGCGAGCGCGGGTGCACATAACGTTGCCCCCTCCCCTCCTCGGCTCCCCCCGAAACTCCGAAGCTTCCGTTCGCCAAGCACTAGCTAGCACTCCGGGCTGGGGGGCGGGTGGTCCCCAGAGAGCGGGAGGCGGCCGGGCGGGCGGGGCAGCCGGGTACTGGGTGCCCCCGCGCCGGGCACCCCCCCTCCGCCCCCGCCCGGCCACCCCGCCCAGGCCGCGAGGCCACCTCACTGGCAGCGGAATGGAAACCGGTTCGACAGGTAACAAATAGGTGGGTTGTCACCGTTATTTCCCAACGCATGCGCCGTCGCTCCCCGGGACGCTCCAAGCTAATTAGCTCAGATCACCCCCCCACCCCGCCCCAGCCACCAACACACACCGCCGCGAGCCAATAAAGCGTGAACCCGTCCGTCCGGCTCGCACTTTAAGACTTCCCGAGCAGCCGCAGGGGACGCCAGTCGAGCCGGGAGACGCTTACCTGCCGCTTCCCCCGCCGCGCGGTGCACCTGGCTGCAAGGGCCTCGGCCGGCAGGGAGGGCAGCGACGGCCCCGAGGAGTGGGAGGCGGGCGCGCGCGCCGTCCCGGGCACGGTCTCCCCGCAGAACGTGGGGGGCACTTGGGCGAGTCGTTCCCCGAACCGCCCCCTCCCCTCCCCGGCCCCCCAGCTCGGCCCGGGACAGGTGGGACGGCTCCCGGCTGTAGTTGCGGAAGCGGACGGCGCTGGGCGAGGAGGGTTCGAAGATGCCCCGCGCGTTCCTGGTGAAGAAGCCGTGCGTCTCCACGTGCAAGAGGAACTGGAGCGAGCTCCCCGACGAGGAGCGCGGCGAGATCTACGTGCCAGGTGAGGCGCGGCCAGCCGCCCCCCCGAGCCTGAGGCGCCCGAGGGGCCGGGGCAGGGGGCCGTCCGGGCGGCGTGCGTGCGGGGCGCCGCGGCGCGGAGCCGGGCGGGCGGGCGCAGCCGGGGCGCCCGATTTAATGTTTAAGCGGCCGCGGACCCGTTAGCCCGGGGCGCGGGGGGAGGGGAGAGGAGGGGTGAGGGCAGGGCGGCGGAGGAGGCGCCGGCTGGGGGCTGAGGCCGGCGGGAGGGGGCGAGGGCCGTTCCCAGGCCCCACGGCTGGGCCGGGGGCGGGCGGGTCCGTGGCGCGCTGGTCCGCGCGGGTCCGCCCTCGTCCGCCCTCCCCTCCACCGGCCGGAGCCGCGGCGCAGGGGAGGCAACGGGGTGTGTCACCGCTCCGGCGACCCTCCACTCTCACGTCGTAAATCTAGAAAGCGGGGACTTTTATGAGGCGGGAGGAGGGCACTGGAGCGATGCCACCTCGGGGGGCAGGGAGCGAGCTGGAGCTTCAGCCGCAATTTGTGCAAAATGTAGGAGAAAACTCGTTTAAGCCGCTTTCCTGGATCTCTCCGTCTTTCCCACACTCCGGTGGCCAGAAGGTCGTGGTGGGGGTCAGGCCGCCAAGGATTCCCGGCCGGCCGCCCGCGGAGTGCACGGAGACCCGTGGGGACGGTTCCTGGCTGCGCCCCGCTTGTCCTGGGGACCAGGGTGGGATCAGGTCTCACCGCCGTCAGAAACGCGCCTCCTTGCCGAGGACATACTTGCAGAGGACGCAGCTGAGCGGACAGTGCTTTTCATGAACCCAGCCCCCCGCCAGGGGACCGCTGGTGCGCCCAGCCTGTTTTTGGAGGACGCCTTGAGAGCGTCCGAGTCGCCTTTGAATGAGTAACCCGAGTTGTTTCTCTCTCCAGTGGCATCTTCCTCTGGAAGGCCTGAGAACACTTTCGTGCCTTCTATCCTCCTCCACCCCCAAGAAAATCTTTGGTCAGGAGAAAGGCAGCTTCCTTCCGAACTCCCCCTCCCCTCGCCTTGCGGGTGGGGCGGGGGCCCCCGCTGCACACCCAGCCCAGCGCCTCCAAGGGAGGTGGAGGTGGGGGACAGGGGTTGTAATTAACCAACCGACTTTGACCCTTGATCTGCAGGCTCCCTGGCACCGCCCCAGGCCTTGCACGAAAGTGGTGAAATGAGGGCAGTGAGGGGCCCTGTACCAGCTCCTGCCTCAGTTTCTCTCCTAGAATAAACTGGCAGAGACAGTGGGTGTAGTGGTGAGATCTCTGTGACCTGACGGGCCAGGAGCCAATGGCCTGTGACGATGCTGGGATGTTTCTCAGGTTATCTCAAGGGCCTTGGCGCTGCTTCTAGAGCCTCCTTTAAACAAGGGGAAACTGAGGCCAAAACGCAGCTCACCTGAGGTGGATTAGGGTGTGGGCCCAGGATTCTGTGTATAGTTTCCTGCCTGACCAAGTTCCTGGCAGGCGGGTTGGCGGTGGGGGGCGGGTTCCCCACCTCTAGAAGGGCCGGGAGAGGAACTGAGCCCCCTTCTTCACTCCTGCCTCCTCCCTCACCTGTGTTTGTCTTGCTGCCTAGCTGCGCCTTCGGATCTGATAAACTGAACTTGGACTGTGTTAAAGGTGAGCTGAGCCTTGCGGGAGACTCAGTGTGCTGTTATTTTTAGTTTTATTTCACATCCCAATCAGTAACAGATCATGTGTTGACTTTTACAAAGGACAAAGAAATTCCGTTTGTTCAAATCATTGACTTCCTTGCATCCTGGTGACTTTCCCCACCAGAGTTCTGGTGGCCCTTGTGGGAGTGGTGGGGGGGGGGCTGTCCCTGCAGGGATGGCCGAGGGGGGCTTCCGGGTGGTCTGGGCCACCTGCTGCTGGTGTCCAGGGCAGGGAGCTGTGCAGGCCTCTCTCGAGACAGGATGGGCCCATATGGTTGGGTCCGGGTCTAAACCTGGAGGGCACAGGTGAGGGTTTGCCCTCGTCGTTCTGGGGAGGGTGAGTCCTGTGGGGTGAAGCAAAGGGTAGAAGGCAAAGCACTTAATTTAGCTTCTAGAAGCCATGTGGCCCACTGGAGTGTTTTCCCACAGGTTTTGGAAATGAGAAAGGGAATGTTCTCGGGCCACGCTTGGGTGCCTCAGATGGCTGGAGAGGGGGGAGTGTGTTTTGTGGTGGCTTGTCCCCTGGCTGAGCCATTCCATCACTAGCCGACCATGACCCCAGGAGCCGGCTGGGCACGTTTCCTTCACCCCACCTCACAGACTCAGCACGTTGTGACCAGCTAAGCGTTGACCCTGGTCCCACTGGGAGAGGCCCTGCGGGAGCTGGGGAACAGGGAAGCCTTTGAGGTCTGACCTTCCTGCCAGACCCTCAGAGACCCTTAAGGCATCAGAGAGTCCCTGGGAGGAGACACTTTTTCTGGCTGAAGGCTCAGGGCACCGGTGTGACCGGCACTCTAGCCTCTCTCCCTGAGGCAGGAGCCCGGCTGCTCACTGTCCAGGCCGAGGTGGACCGGCTTCTCAGTCCACTCTGGGCCCCAGAGTACGTGTGTTCGGGTGGGAGGGACTGAGCGCTTGTGGGGGAGATCCGGCCTCCAGTGAGGGTCATTCTTCTAATTCCTGGGAAATGCTGGCAGGGAACGCCTGCTATCGTCTCCAGGCAGCAAGGCTGGGAGCACAGAAAGCCACCCAGTGAGTGGGGACGGAAGAGCAACTTGGGCCTGGGCAGTGGCCTAGATGGGGCTCCTGCCTGTCCTGTGGGACGCTGTCCCATATGCCGCCAAGCTGTTTGCTCCCAGCTGGGGTTACCCAAGACGGACTCCTGCCAGACCGTTTGTCCCAGAAAGAAAGCAGGTGAGGGCAAGTCCTCTGGGCACAGGGAAGACTAGAGCGAGGGTGGCCACTGTTGATGGTCACTTGCAACACGTTTGGAGTCCCACAGAGGTGCCCGTCCCCGTGCTGGCTGGAAGAGTGGGGTGGGGGGCGGCAAAGGGAGGCACGGTCCTCAGCTGGTCAGGCTGCCCACCCTGGCACAAGGACCAAGGTGCCCGGCGCTGAGGGGCCCGGTGTCAACTTTGAAAGGCAATTGGGAAAGGGGAAAAAGAGATTGCCTGCGAGAGACACTTGGCATTCACAGGATGGAAGCCACAGGCCCGTTGTTTCCAGGGCTGCCCATCTCTACCAGTTGGCTGGCCCTCACTGCCTTTCCGGCACTGCTACCTGACCTGCAGGGGTGGGGGGGAGAGGGGCATGGGGAACCCCTGCCTCTCCTGATAAGGGGGCAAGGCCACCTCATACCAGCGTGGGTCTTGCTGACACATGGTCCCTCCCGATTCGGAGCTGAGTCACAGCCCACCCCCCCAACCCCCGCCCACCAGGTCAACCCCAGCCCCCGCCCCCGAACCCCCCTCCTGGGTCGGGGGTCAGGCATCCTCACATGTGCCTCACCTGCTCTCCTTAGAGAGCAGCCCTGACCGGAGGCCTGGCGTGGGGTAGGACCTGGCCCTCTGGCCAGCGTGTGGCCAGCAGCATGCAGTCTGGGGTGGGGACAGGCTTGAGAGAGGGGACTTGCTGAGGACGAGATGTTGGGGAGCTGGCCCTTGGCTGGAAAGCTGCCTCGGGCCCCCTGGGCCCTCCACATCATCCCACAGAGGTGAGCGGGGCCAACAGAAGGGGAGCCCGTGAGCCCCTGCGGGAGTAAGTAGGGAGATGGCCCAGCTGGTCTGGCCCCGCAGCACTCCGCAGCTGTGGGCGGGCAATGTGTCGACACAGCCGCCTTGCCGGAAACATCTAATTAGGAGACAGAGAGCAGCACAAGCAGGGCCTGACCAGTTCTGCTTCCTGCCTCCTGCCGCCAGGTGCCACCCAGTGCCACCCAGGGACAGGAGCGGCACGCCGATGAGCACTCCGTGTGCGTGCTGCGGCGGCGGCAGGGTGTGCTCCCAGGGGTGGCGGGAGGACAGGTTTGGCAGGCGGGGCTGAGGCAAACATCCCCACCCTGGCACCCTATGGCGGCCGTCCAGCCCCCACTGCCCCTGGCTCGGGCGAGGGGTGGGGGTAGACCGCCACCGGAGCCAGGGGGAGCCCAGAGTGACAGCTCATTCTGAGCACAGACGGGTAAGCCCTCACCTGCTGTCACTCCTCCCTCTGCCGCTGCCTGGGCCGGCGCTGTGGCTGGGCTTCCACTTCCAGGAGCTTCGCTCAGGCTTTCCGATACTGAAAGACAGAAGGAGGTAGAGCTTCCTGTGGGTCTCTACCTGGATTGAGAAATGGAAATTGTCATTCAGCTTTGAATTCTCGGCCAAGGTCTCTTTCCAGTGGTCAGTAAAGCGGCCTCAGAAGCCGCCAGAACTCTGACAGCCCCCGCCCGGTGTACAGACCGCCGTCACTTGTGGGGAGGCCGGAGGGACCCCGAGAGCTTGGCCTCCCACCTCCCAGCACCCCCCACCCCCCGCCAGCCTCCCAGGGTTCCGAGGGAGGCGCCATGCCAGCTCAGAGGCCGGGCCTGGGCCAGGCACTGGTGAATCAACACCCGGAATGAGGTGGCTCATTAAAGTCCCCCGGACAGACGGACGCCAGTGCCAGCAGAACGGGTTCTGGGCGGCAGGCAGGCGCATTCTTCCCTTGTCAGACCTTTGTTGTGTTTTGAGGGGGCGAGAGCCAGGGCCTCTCCCGAAACTTCTTCTGTGCTTTCATATTCACCCTTCCTGCATCAGTAGCCCCTGGGCCTTCCTTGTCTTCTACCTCCAGCGCCCCCGTCCTGGGGCCGCACCTCCCTGGGTCCCCCGCCTCTCTGTCTCAGTAGCTCCTGGGCCGGGGGTGCACTGGGCCTTGTCCGCCGGTCTGAGACCTACACTGGGTCTCCGAAGTCCATCTCCTGGAAGCACCCTCATCCTTTCCTTCCTATGCCCCTCTTGATTTATCCTTTCGAAGCTTGGAAAATGTTCCTGGCTTATGGTGTTTAAGGACAGCGGATCCTCGCACACGGCGGGCCGCTCAGACGTCGGGTCCTTTCCATAAATACAGCACAGGGCTGGGAATGTATTTTCTCTTTCTTAGGATTTTCTTCATAACATTTTTCTTCTCCAGCTTACCTTATCCTTATGACACATAGAACATGCAAAACGTGTGTTCCACTACTGTTTCTGTTCTCGATAAGGCTGCTGGGCAGTTAACGTTCTGGGACAGCCAGAAGTTACAGTAGGATTTTTGATGGTGGGGGTGGGACTCTGTGCCCCTAAGCCCTGCCCTGTTAAAGGGTCAAGTGTATAGAGTTTAGCCTTTCGGGGAAGAAAAAGACTGATACGTTAAAACATTAGCTAGTTTGGCCCATCTTTGGTCCCCTCCGTGTCACTCAGGCAGCGGGTCCTCCTCCCTGCTCCACCATGGGGACCAACCCTCTTTGGCCCCGTTCAGTGTGAGCTGTCCCTGGCAGGGGGCGGCCGCCACCGAGGGCTGCCAGGTATCGGTGCCTTGGAGGGCGGAGGCTGGGAGCCCAGCCCTCGGTGTGCCGTGGCGAGCAAGCGGTCCCCGCTGTGGGGCAGGCTTGCATAAGAGCTGGGCACGGCGCCCAGGAGACCGTTCCGCGGCATCCACCTGCTGCCGTCTGACCTCCTCCCTGCTCCACCTCACCTGGCCTGTTTGCCTGCCACACCTGGCCAGCGGGAGTGGCGAGCCTAGAGCCCCGCAGAGCTGCAGCAGCAGACACCAGCCAGCCCTGAGGACCACCCGCTCCCCCCAGGCCAGCCACTAAATCGGCCTGTAGAAGCAGCCCAGGTCGGCCCAGGCCAGGGGCCAGGGATGAATCCCTGGACCCAGGGCCTCCAGTGGTGCCCCCGTGTCCACGCAGGCGCACGGATGAGACCTGGAATCCAGAGGGACTGGCCCAGGTGGGCCAGGCGGACAGCTCTGGAGGGATAATTGGCAGGGCAGGTTCAGTCCTCCCAGTTCCGCTAAGACACAAATTACTCAGCAGGCAGGCCTGTGGGCTGTGGGGCTTGGCGGGCGTCCCCTGTCATTACCTTAATGGGGCAGGAGGGAGGGGCAGCAAGCTCGGGCTGGGGACAGCCTGCCCTGCCAAGGTGGAGGCTCCCCGGCCCAGCCCGCCCACTGCCCAGCAGCTGTCCGGAGAGACCCCTGAATCCTGTTCTCCCTGCCAGACCCCTCACCTGGCTGTTCTTCTCTCTGCAGTCAGTCTGGGCTTTTGCCCCCCCACAGCCCTACCGGGAGCCAGAGCCATCGGTGGCTGAGCCCCCGTCTTGCCCCCTGGTTTTGGACATGAGCCTTCGGGACTCCGGCTATGGTGTGGCCCCAGGGCCCTGCGTGGTGGCCCAGCTGCCCTCCGAAGACACGAGTCGTTTGGCAGAGCGCCAGAGCAGAGACCACGGCTTTCTGCGCACCAAAATGAAGGTACCGAGCCTCAGACCGTCTCCGAGGGCCAGGAGCGTGTCTATAGACCTGTGTCTGGCCCACCAGACCGGGTACGGTGAGACCCAGGCAGAGGCTGGCCTTGGATCTGGGCCCGGTTTTCTGCCAAGAAGCGGACCCAGCACGGCGCAGGTTGGGGCAGAAAAGAAGAAAAGTAGGTCTAAAGCGACAGTGTCATACTTTGGGAAGAAGCGGCAGGGCCTCAGAGACATTTCACCCTTGGGAGTCTGTGCTAGGAGTTGCTACGGTTTGTTTCTGGCCTTAAAGGGAGCCACCTCTTTGCAAGCCCTAGGAAAAGTGGGGGACAGGAGCCCGGCTCCGCCCCTTCTCCTGGTTTCCCCTCCGTGCTGTGCTGCGCCCAGAGTGAGCTCTGGAGTCCACCTTGTGGTTCACTGGCCCTTGAGGCAGGTGCCCTGCGGTTTCCCCCTCCCCCAAGTGTGCCACTTTTGTCCTCTTTGGCCTCTGAGGCCTCGCATCGAGGGCAAGGCCAGGGGAGCCGCCCGCTGCACTCAGCCTCAGCAGTGGGAACCGTAAGGAGGGTAGGAGGCAGCAGAAATGCCCCCTTTCGAGGAGCACGCAGCCAGTGAGGCTGTCCCTGGCTAGGCCCGAGTTCCTGAAAGGTCTAGGCTCTCGAAGCACCTGCCAGCAGCGATCTAGTGGAAGGGTTCTTGTAGCCCTGTTCTCTGTGCCAAAGCACTGAAGAAAACTGGCAGCAGAAGGCCCTTCCTTCTTCTCTTCCCCGTGTAGGCCAAGTGCATGTTGTAACTAGAGGGAAACCGCTCAGACACAGGCTGGTCAGGTGGCCAGGGAGCCAGCACAGTGGCCCTGAGCCCCCGTGGGCCTTCCTGTCATCCCCTGGACCCTGGTTGGTAGGAAGGGCATGGAGAGAGGGCAGAGGGCACAGGATGGCAGATGCACCCGAGGAGTGGGTCTTGACCTGAAAGGTCTTGGCTGGTCGGCAACGGAGGGCCTTTCCCTGAGGCCTGAAGCGGTAGAGGAGGAGCTGATGGGTGGGACGGGGTGGCAGGAGGAGGGGTCAGCAACAGGGCCGCCCACAGAGCACAAGCAGCCTCTGGATGGTAATGGACATGGAGGATGCAGACCACGTTTCCCTGTGTGGGCCACGCGGCTGGAAAGGCACGGCTGTCACTCGGAGCTGCATCCTCTCTGAGGGGCAGAGGGTGGCCAGGATTTGCTTCCAAATGATCCAGAGCCAGGGGCTAGGTTGGGATGGAAGGATAAAACAAGACCAGCCCTAAATGCTAAATGATGGTCACTGTAGTCATGGTGCTCATCTCCGTGTCTGACAAGATCTGAGATTTTCCGTAGTGACAAAAGAAACGAAGAAGGTGTGTAAGTAAGAAGGTTGTGAGGATGGCAAGGTGCCTCCCCTCACACCGCGACGGGCCTGGCTCCGTACAAGCAGGGGGCTGGGCTCCAGGCTCTGAGCGGCAGCCCCAGAGGCCATGTCCTGGTCGTCCTTGGTCCCACCTCAGAGGAGGCGAACAGGGGGCACAGGTGCAGAACAGCAGCTTTGAGCCCTGCGGCGGGAGCCTTCCTGACAGGCGGTGGTGACCAGCCGTTCGTACAGGGAGCTTGTTGCAGGTCTCTAGAGAGGGCAAAGGGGCTGGGTGGCCGGGGGTTTGGGAAGCCAGCAGCAGCCCGACCCAAAAGCTCCTTCCGGCCCCTCCCGCGCTGAGCTGTGAGCCAGGGGCACAGAAGCGCGGCCTCTGGAGGGCGAGCTCGGCGGTCCCCGGGACCATGGCATGCCCACATGCAGCCCATGCTCCAGGACAGCTGACGCAAACGCCATCCTCGCCCACAGGTGACCCTGGGGGACAGTCCCAGTGGAGACCTCTTCACCTGCCACATCTGCCAGAAGGCCTTCACCTACCAGCGCATGCTGAACCGCCACATGAAGTGTCACAACGACGTCAAGAGGCACCTGTGCACCTACTGCGGGAAAGGCTTCAATGACACGTTCGACCTGAAGAGGCACGTCCGCACCCACACCGGTGAGAAGAGCCCCTGGGAGTCCCTGCCCGGCGGGGGAGGGGAGATCCACGGCCTGGGAGAGGGCATCCTGGAACTCAGGGCAGAAGCCCCCATAGCTCATGGGTTCAGTCCCTCAGGGAGCTGGAGACGGGGCCGGCCTCCTCCGCTCCTCCCGCCCAGAGTCAGGTGGCCTGGCCTTTCTATGTCAGGGAAGTGGCCCACGGGCTTGCCGTCAGCTCCCTGACCCCCACGCGCTCCTCCCCGCAGGTGTGCGGCCCTACAAATGCAGCCTGTGCGACAAGGCCTTCACGCAGCGCTGCTCGCTGGAGTCCCATCTCAAGAAGATCCACGGTGTGCAGCAGAAGTACGCGTACAAGGAGCGGCGGGCCAAGCTGTACGTGTGTGAGGAGTGCGGCTGCACGTCCGAGAGCCAGGAGGGCCACGTCCTGCATCTGAAGGAGCACCACCCCGACAGCCCGCTGCTGCGCAAGACCTCCAAGAAGGTGGCCGTAGCCCTGCAGAACACCGTCACCTCCCTGCTCCAGAGCAACCACCACCTCTGAGCGGCCCCGCCCGGCCTGGGTCGCCTGCCCGCTGCCCGGCGGTGACCGGGCCTAGAGCCCCCTGAGGCTCACATGTCCGCTCAGGCCTGGCGCTGATCTCTGCTCACGTTTGCCTTTTTGTCTGAGGGGCAGAGGCCACTCTGAGCCCGGACCAACGTGGGCGAGGCCCAGGGTGCCTTCCCCGTGAAGCAGCCCGCCTACGGTGAGAAGACTTCCTTCCCAGAGGACAGATGGGGATGCTCGGCGGCCATGCTCCTCCGGAGCACGAAGCATGGGAACAGGGCCGCAGCTCCCTGCAGGGCAGCGGAGGGAAGAGCAGGGGCAGAGAGCAGCTGGGCAAAGCAAGTGCTGGGGGAGCTGGCGCCCGCCTACCCTGCAGTATGCCTAAGGCTCAGGGCCATGGGGGCCTTGGCCCTTCCCTCAGGGCGGTGCATACCCTATGCACAGCCGCGGACACTCCTGCACACACAGGAGGCCTTTCCACACATCACCTCATTTTTAGGAAACCGACAACAAGGTGCCAAGGAAGTTTTATTTCCTTTTTTTTTTTTGACACATGTACAGATATTAATATATTTTTGGTGCCGATGGTGGCTATTTTTAAGAGAGGATGGAGCTGGCTTTGTTCCCTCTCCATGCAGTTCTATTTATCCTGGACATTTCATACCTCTTCTGTGCCTTGGCTCTGGGGGCAGGTGGGGGGGCTGCCCTAAGCCACCCCCACCCCTTGTACCTCCCGAGATATCTCACCAAAGACCTTCCTCCAGTCCTGCCTGGGGGCTGCCCATCTGCTGGGGTAACGCACTGCATTGGCTACTCCCCCTCCCCCGGGGGGCTCTGCCTCCCTCCTACATCCTTTCAAGGCCTGCCTGGGGGTTACCAAGAGCCTGTTTGCCTCCTAAAAATGGACCTTTTGTGAACAACTCACCGTTGTGGAGGCCAAGAGTTTGTCCAGCAGCAGCTGTAGGAGAAAGGCCTGTGGGGTGATGAGTCCTTGATCCACAGAGTCCACCGTCTGGGACAGAGAAAAGAACAGGACCAGGCTGCAAGGCCTGCCCTTTCCTGGGTTGAGTGAACAAACCCAGGGCAGCAGCGAAAAATTGGGACCCATCAGAGGCCCCTAGGGAGGGCAGCATTAGAGGGCTGATGAGTTATATTTGAGGCCTACTTTCTGACTTTTTCACATGGCTGTGTTATGAGCGCGTAACGAACAAGCCATCCCTGAGCTGGTTGGCTCGACTGGAGGAAATCGGCCACCGGGCTCTAATGGTGTGGCTGGGTTTCCTCCTAAAAAACAGGAAAAGGGGTGTGGGTCAAAAAGGAGAGAGGGGCAGGGCCGGAGCCAGCCTGCCAAAGAAGGAGAAGGCAAACTGGAAAGAGGTCCAAAGAGTGCAGCGGGCTGGGCCGGCCGAACCCCTGGGCAGAACCTGGGCAGGTGCTTTCTCTGACCGCCCTCTGACTGTGTATATTGTTCTGGAAGACGCCTGTTTTATTTTACTTTAGAGTGTCTGGGAGCTGCTGTATTCTGGAAGTTATATAGTATGAAATAACCCTATCTGGAAGCTCTGTTTCGTTTACATTTCTGTAGCCCTGTGTTATTGCAATCGGAGTGAGCCCTAACACTCTGTGTTGTCTGTATTATTTTATAACTTCCCCCCAACTATTAAAATCAAAGAATTATCGTTTTCTGCGTTTCTCCTTTTTTGTCTTATAGACCTCTTTTTCCACCGGCAGGGAAATCAATCAAAACGGTTGTTGCATTCTAGGCAAAGCTTTCCCCTTTTACGGTTACCAGTGAGCCTCAAGTCAAGCCGAGACTCTGACCTGCACGGATGGAGTGGCCTGCCCCTGGTCTCGGCACTCAGAGCCTGCTGACTGATCCCTGGGCCTCGCCCCACCTGCCCTGTGCTCCTGCGTCCTGACGTGGCCCTCCGCCAGGCCAGCATAGTCACTCATGGTCCAGTTTCCACTTCCTTTCCTAGCACCTGCCAGGACCAAAGAAGGAAGACAGTGATCCCAAATGACAGGGCACAAAGGTCACATCACTTCCGGGTCAGGCACCTAGTATCGGGCCAGCTACATCGCACAGCTCGTGTTCTGTGCCAGGTGCCTTGCGTTTCACCCACATTGGCTCACTTGATTTTTTGGCCACTGCCCGGAAGACACTGCCATTCCCGCCATGAGAAGTTGGGTAGTGGGCCTGGGTCTCACCATGAGCTCTGCCGCCACGACACCAGCGTGCAGCCCATCCCTCTGGGCAATTCAAACCAGGCAGGAATTTAGAGATTAACTGGCCTTCCCCATCACCTACCTAGGGTCACCTGGGGAGACCTGATCACTCTGGGGATTCAGTTCTGTGTTCTTCATCATGTCCCCTCTGCTAGATGGACAACCAAGGAGGAGGGCGGCTGCCGGTCCTGGGCCTTCGATGTGATCTTCTAGGAGGTGTGAAGAGGGTTCATGTCTGGGTGCTGTGAAGAGAACGGAAAACATGGCTCTGACCTTTAAGGCTCCCTGTAAGAAGCCCAGAGGATTGCCAAGGGCCCCTAACCCTCCTTATGTCTTTCAGTAGCCAGAGGATCTTTATCACGAGAAGCCTCCCAGTGTGAAAGGCCAACCAAACCCCATTTTGATCTGTCCCGAGATGAGCTGAACCCATTGTTGGGAACCCAGATGATGCACCGCTAGGCCAACCTCAGGAGGAGCCGGGAGCCAGGCCTAAGCTTCTAGGAAGCCAGGGGTGGGGGTGGGGAAATGTTCCTGGGGCTCCCCATGAGCTGCTACTTTCTCTCCCACTCCTTAGAACTCCCACGTGGGACACGGCTCCGAGGAGCCCTTCTTGTGGCATCAGGCCAGAGGGCCCCATTACAAGGCCCATCATGCTCTCCAGAACCGGTAGCGTGGGTGCCACGGGAGAAAAAGGACAAGCACGGGGTGGAGGGTACGCTTCCGCTGACTGGTAGATGGGCCCCAGCCAGGTGGGGAGAAGAGAGGAATGGGGGTCAACATACAACGAAGGGCACAGGTGTCCCGGACTATAAATGCTGTGGGACCCCACAAGGAGTCTGTTGCATCTGAAAGAGTAAAGACTTCTTGGAAGAAGTGGAGGCCCAGCTGGTCTGGAAAAACAGGGGATCTGAACAGAACCGAAGAAAGGGGAAGGTGTTTTGGGTGGGGGCAGGGGGTGTGGGGAAGAGCGGGATGAAGCTCAGAAGGGAAGAGGTGTGGGCAGCGGGTCTCACTCTGTCCATCAGAATTCTGGCTGCTTGCCTCCTTCATTCAGCACAATGGAGGCATTTTTGGAACCCCGCCCAGGTGCGGGGCAGAGCTGATAAGACCAGGGTCTGGCAGGAGAGCCGGCTGGGGGCCTAGCAAGACCGCGTCACTGAGGATAAAAGCAGAATCTTATTCTTACAGCCGAAAGCAAAGCAAATACACGTGGGGAGTGAGAAAGTGCTTGTTTATACCTTATATTTTTACATATTTTCTAATTTTTTTTTTTTTTACAATAAGCATACATTATTTCTACAAACAGAAGAAAATAAAGTTGTGAAACAATTTAGGGGGCTTAGCTGACACAGAGTTCAACACGTCAATGGGGAGAGGGGGCGGCCCGCCTCCCCAAAAGCCAAGGTGATCTTGGGCAACATTAAGAGTGTGGCGTCAGCAACCGGCGTCGCCTCCCTGCAGTCAGGGCTGGTCACCGGGCCGTGGGTTTGAGGCCCAGTCCTGTCTCGTGGTGTCTGTGGGGCCTCGCGCAAGTGACCTAACCTCCCAGTCTCTTCATCTATAAAATGATCTGGGTTCCTGAGTCTGAAAGTCCCTTTCCCATATAAAGACTTTATGTCTCTAGGCTCCCATCTTGAGAAAACCTTTGAAGAAACTCACCGACAGCGTGTGGTGGAGATGTGTTGGGTAGGTGGCGAGGACCAGCTAAGCGGCAGCTGGCTTGAAGCAGAGGGCAAGGCTTACCCCCAGGGGGTTCCAGTGTTGAACCAGCGGCGAGAAGGGAGGATTAGACTGGGCAGAGCGAAATGCAGGGATTGGAAGACTTCCAAGTCCCGTCATGGCTCACCCAGGGGGTGACTGCATAGGGTACGGGGGGAATGGAAGGGAGCCCCCCACACTGTTACTGGAGGGCTGGGGCTGGGAAGCCACTTGTTAGTGATCTCTTTCTTTCTTCTTCTTCTTTTTTTTTTTTTAAGATTTTATTTATTTGACAGAGAGATCACAAGTAGGCAGAGCAGCAGGCGGGGCAGGGGGCTGAGGGTGGGGGCAGCGGGGGAAGCAGGCTCCCTGCTGAGCACAGAGCCCGATGCGGGGCTCGATCCCAGGACCCTGAGATCATGACCTGAGCCGAAGGCAGAGGCTTTAACCCACTGAGCCCCCCAGGCGGCCCTTGTTAGCGATTTCTAATAGGACTCTGTCATGGGACCGAAGGCTAGACGAAACAATCTTCAAGACTCTTTCTACCCGCAGAATTTGAAAAGGCCAGGCTGAAGGGCGGCGGTCGCGACTTCCAGGCCTGTTCACCATTCCTAAGAAGGCAGAGCCAGGGTGAAATGCTGGTGAACAGGGAGGAATAGGAAAGACAACACTGGAAAGAGACCAGTTGGGGGGCTGTCTCATACGCTGGGCTGGAGGGGACGGAGACCTGGACTGGGTGGGGGAAGCAGACCCCTTCTCACCGCCTCTGGCCCTGGCCCGTCCCCTAGAGCCACCCAGAACCAGGCCGCTCCCTGGGAAGGTGGGAGCCACCTGACACAGGGTATCCTACCCTCTTTGTGCCCAAGACCAACGTGCCTTCCTCCACTCCTCATGCCAGCCCCCCTTCCCAGGTTTCTAGAATCTGTTTTGATATTGCATCCCCCAACACCCAGGCTCACGCCTCCCAGCTTTTTTTTTAGTTCCTGTAGCCAATCAGTCAGCCCCCCTCAATGATCCCTGAGCCTGCCCTTCTCTCCTGGCAGCTCTCCCCCTAGGGGGCCAGCTCCATGGCAAGACGGGCTCAGACCATGCAGATTCTGGTCCCCCGCCATGGTAGAGCATTGAGAATTAGATCTGCCAGGTTCTGTTTCCTGAATATGAGGGCTGGGTATCAGGTGACTGATTTCCTCTGTTTCTCACTTATTCTCTCTGCATCAACTGGGCGAGGGCTTCTACCCGGGTCCATCTTTCAAAATAGAGTAACACACAAATCCGGGGTCTCACAACACGCTCCGAGGAGGCGGGCACCAGCCACACAGTGTGACCTGCCC